TTTTTTTTGTCTCAGATGCAACAGTCGAGTGCCATCCGTGTACTGCAGCGTAATGGATTGGCATGGATGAAGCTTAGGAACTGGCAATGGTGGCGATTGTTCACAAAGGTACATCTTTAATTTGGTGTTCTTTGAACGATCATCAATCAATGTGTCCAATTTCTCTTTCAGGTGAAACCACTTCTTCAAGTCACAAATCAAGAAGCGGCAATTTCTGCCAAAGAGGACGAGCTCCGTGTTATACGTGAGAAGTTGGAATCTGTTGAGGCGGAATATCGTGAGAGTTTGACGAAAGTTGATCAGGTTCGTCGATTTGTAACTTCACAGCTTGTAGTAATTCAGATTGTAGTCGGAAATATATTTTTCTTCATCCGTATCTGTTTTTATGACCCATCAGTGCAGTATTCAGTACAATGTATAGTTGCAGTTGAAAACCTTTTTTTCTGCTGATTTCCGGCTTCTACGCAGTTTCGCGATTCATTGCGAACTTCGTTATTCATTTCATGAATTCTCAGGTGATGGCCGAAAGAAATGTATTGCAAGATCAATTACAACAAGAGACAGACAACAATGCCGAACTGGAAGAAGTTAAGAACCGCCTCCAACTTAAGGTGGGAATCATGTCTTGGTACCCTCAAATAACCCAGAGAGAGTTGCGGGATATTGGGTTTGGACTTAAAAAAATTGGTTATAGAAGAATGAGCTCGAGGAGATGGTCAATGAAATGCGTGACCGTCTTGTTGAAGAAGAGCAACGAACGGAAAAGATGGGTCAAGAAAAGAAAAAGCTTGTTGTAAGCTATCAATAGCTCTAATTTATTTATTTGCTTTTCTACTTGTTCTGGTTTATTTGTTGTAATAACCTAGTTAATTTCAAGGAAACTGTTCGAGACCTCGAGGAACAACTCGAACAAGAAGAACAGGCTCGCCAAAAGCTCCAACTTGACAAAGCCAATGTTGACCAACGAGTTAAGAACGTGGAAACGAAACTGGTTGATATTACTGTAAGTAGTTACTTTCGATTAAACTTGAGTTTGATAGTTTCTGAAGGGACTGCTATATTTCAGGATGCTCATGATAAACTGCTCAAAGAGAAACGCATGCTAGAAGATAAGATGAATCAGCTCAATGTGCAGCTTAGTGAGGAGGAAGAACGAGTAAAACAAGTAGCCAGACAACGTGGAAAGGTGCTCACTCATTGCTTCTTGTACTGTGGTCTTGCTTCTTGTTCTGTGGTCTGATTGTTGTACTTTTGATTGTACTTTTGATAGTGTTGTTGTTTGAGGTGGAAGGTCATGTTCAAGAGCTCGAACAAGAGCTACTTCGAGAACGACAACTGAAGAGTGAGATGGAACAACAGAAACGAAAACTGATTACTGAACTCGAAGACAGCAGGGAACTGCTTGAAGAAAAGCGTAATAAATTGGAAGAACTCAATGGGCAATTGATGAAGAGAGAAGAGGAATTATCGCAAGTGCTAACGAGGTAATTACTTCACCAATGCTGTCACCTCATCAAATATTCCTACGGCTTTCCCAGCACTTCCAATGTTTCATTGTGACTTTAGGTCCGATGAAGAGGCGGCGAACATTGCTCTTCTCCAGAAACAGATCCGCGACATGCAAACAACGATCGATGAACTTCGTGAAGACATTGAGACTGAACGAGCCGCGCGGAATAAAGCCGAGATGGCTCGCAGGTTAGCGCTGACTCTTTCCTAGGAAGTAACATTGGTTAAAGAGTGTTTCTTTCAGAGAAGTTGTTGCTCAACTTGAAAAAGTGAAGGGTGACATGCTGGACAAGGTTGATGAAACCAGCGTTTTGCAAGATATCATGCGAAGAAAGGAGGATGAAGTTCGAGATCTCAAGGTATGTTGTCAAGCAAGATTTCTGATTTGTCAACGTGCATCGACCATTTGTGATTGGTCCGTCGATTAGACCAATCACGGTTGTCGCTCAGGCGTGGTTTTTCGAATTATTCAAAGCTGCATTTGTTTACGATGTAAGCTATGTGGTAACTGTTCAGAAAGCTCTGGAATCGGCAACACATGCGCTTGAGAACAAACTTGAAGAGCAGAAGCAGAAGTATAATCGCCAAATCGAAGAGCTCCATGAGAAAGTCGAGCAACAGAAGAAGATCAGTTCCCAACAAGAGAAATTCAGGCATCAACTGGATAACGAAAGAGTAAGCTTTTGCTCTACCATTGAAGTTCGTTACTTGTTATCTTTACCAACATCTCATGGAAATGTTGGGTAAGAATCATTGATGTGTAATTTAGGCTGAACTTGCGCAAGAGTTAGCCACTGTTCAAGCCCAAAAGGCGGAAGCAGATAAACGTCGAAAGCATCAGGAATCACAAGTGATGGATCTTCAGTCACAGCTTGCCGAGTGTGATGAACACCGCATGCAGGCCCTTGAGCAACTAGATAAGGTGTGTCCTAATGCGATTTCCGTCTTCTTGAAATCACAGTCAATCTCCTAGTTGATGAGAGGGCTCGCTATTCAAGAATGTTCTTATTTGTATCTGTTTAGGCTCGTGAAGAACTCGAGCAGCTTAGTCGTACTCGCGAAGATGAAGAACAAATGGTGTCGAACTTGAACAGGAAAATTGCCACGCTCGAGGAGCAATTGCATGAGCTTAGTGATCAAGTACAGGTGGGGTTTTTTTGAAGTTTTCGTGGCTGAAATTTTGGCTCAGTCTCGGAACTTGACTTAGTGCTTACTATCCCATAAAAAAGAGCTAATGATCACAATTTCACTACTAATTTTGCTCACACATAAATATTGGTCATAGCTTGAATAGGGATATTACTGGTGCATAGCTTTTAACATCAGAGGCAATGTTGATTCTATATACGCATATAGTAATCTATTGTAACGTTCGAGTTCACTGTAACGAGCTGATGATTTTAGGAAGAAACCAGAGCCAAACTGGCCCAGATCAATCGCGTCCGTCAACTTGAAGAAGAGAAAGGTGCCCTGATTGAAGACAGGGATGAGCTTGATGCTGCTCGTCAACATATGGAACGTGTAAGTGCTCTGATTTTTACCGCTAGATCTCTTCATTTTTTATTTTCTCTACTGTTTTATAAATTTGTGATGTGCGAGTGTTATTGTTTTAATGGCATTTTCCGTACAGGACATCATGACACTGCGCCAACAGCTCGTTGAGGCCAGGAAGAAGGCTGATGAGGGCGTGATACAGCAAATGGAAGAGCTACGAAAGAAGGTTAGTGATTACTAGTTGTTTTCCCTGAAGGCTTCGTTGGATCGCTATGGATAGTATCTATTCAAGGGGTTACACGAAAATCGTGTGAAGTAAGGCTTACCACTAGCAAATGGAAGCCTCAAGTAGTGTTTCTTCCCATACGATCACCTTATCGTTCCACTGGGTTTTTCCTTGGCGCGTAATCAAAGAAATTTCTCGATACTGTGGAGGATTATATGGTTTTTCTTTTCAAGCAGAAACCCTCTAATCAGCGACTGTTTTTATTCTTGGAAATCGATATTAACATATTCGTTTTGGGTGGTACAAGATTTCTATTCAAGGCTCAGCGCGACTTGGAAAATTGCCAGCATATGCTAGAGGAGAGTGAAGCTGGCAAAGAACGTCTCATGCAAAGTAAGAAGAAACTCCAACAAGAGGTTAGTGGAATAGATTTCTTGGACAGAGTGCTATAGCCGAAAAATTTGTTTGATGAATTGCTTTCCAGCTTGAAGACGCCAATATCGAATTGGAGAACATTCGTACGGCTTCTAGGGAAATGGAGAAGAGACAGAAGAAATTCGACATGCAGTTGGCTGAAGAACGAGCCAATGTGCAAAAGGTCTGATAATTCGCTTCATCACTTGGTTCCGTTCCCATAACGACTTTACCAACTAAAATTTATTTTTGGAGCGCTTTCGATTTATTCAGTAGTAGTATTTCTTATTCATTTCGTTATACTATCTATTTTCAGGCAATTCTTGAACGAGATGCCCACGCACAAGAGTCCCGTGATCGTGAAACGCGAATCCTTTCACTTGTCAATGAACTCGAACATATGAAGGGAGCCATTGATGAGACGGAACGTGTTCGACGCATGTTGCAACTGGAGTTGGATGAATCGGTACGCATTTACAGATGGTTAGCATCCTAAGTGAAAACCGTACGAGGAAATTCTTCAAACGTTTTGCTCTGAGCCGTGTCTGGCGGGCTGTGCGACACTCTGTGCATTTTGATCTAGTCCGTCCCACAGTTGATACCTTTTTACGGGTTAACTGCTCCTTTTTTGAGGGTTTCGTTGACTATTTTGCTTGTGAGGAACGAGCGTATTGCGGCATTGGCTGGTTCCACAAAACGAACTTTTCTTCGTTGGAATTGCTCGGATGTTATTTCTGAGCTCGATATGATAAGAGTTAATTCCATAAATTCCCCATGTCATTCCTTGTAGATCTCCTCCAAAGATGACGTCGGCAAAAATGTGCATGAGTTGGAGAAGGCGAAACGTCAGCTAGAGCAAACGGTCCAGGAGCAGAAGGCTGCTATAGAAGAACTTGAAGATCAGCTTGGTTTTGCTGAAGATGCAAGGTGAGATAACTAGATTTGATTGTCACAGGTAAATCCTCAGTCATGTTTTTTAGGCTTCGCCTCGAAGTAAATATCCAAGCGCTCCGTGCGGAACAAGATCGTAATCTGACTGCGAAAGATCTGGTAAGAAATTTTTCTGATGTGCTTATGTATGACCAAAAACTGATTACTCTTTCCACACCTGTTTCTGTGTCCATTGAGCATTTTTCCCTTAAAAAAACTTTTTCTTGTTAGTGTGATCGTCTTCCTGTGTGGGGCAGGGTAGCATGACGCCTAGTCTGAGTGTTGTTTAATCGGCTGGCAAGTGAGTGTGACAAGTTCGGCAAAATCGAAGAAAACAAAAACTCAGAAAGCCTCATAATGAAAGGGGAAAATGTTGACGATCAATTGGGGAACTGTTTCTGAAGGTCATTCGGCTTGCCACCTATTTGAATAGATTTTCTCATTCACAGCGTACCCCGTGGGATCACACACACGCAAAAATGATTTTTAGGAGGCCGAAGAAAAACGCCGAAGTTTGGTGAAGCAATTGCGTGACATTGAACAAGAACTTGAAAACGAACGTCGTGGCAAATCTGGTGCGATCAGTCAAAAGAAGAAGATGGAGGCTCATATCGCTGAAATCGAACAGCAACTTGATGTAGCGAATCGGCTCAAGGTCAGCTGTATTGTACTTTGCCATTAATTTTTTCTTGATGTTGCCTTCGTTCGACGATTCCGTACGATTACGTACGTTCAGTTAAGTGAGGGATCGAAATGGGTCTCTTTATAGGACGAATACAATAAACAATTGAAGAAGAATCAGCAGATGATCAAGGAATACCAACATGACAGTGAAGAGGCTCGACAAATGAAAGAAGAAATTGCGTCGCAGCTAAGAGACATTGAACGACGATTGAGGTATTCACATTCAGCTTCAGCGCTACTCGCAACTTCTGAATTTGAAATGCAGTGTCTTGTGCCAGTGGCGTCTGTGATTGGTGATGGCGAGCGTCCACCAATCAGAAGCAGCCACTGCACATCGCCAAGCTCCCGTGTAGTCCTGCTTGTTCCCATATACGTGCAATTCACCAGTGAGATTATAATAACTACAGATCTGCTGAAGCCGAAAATCAACGCCTGTCCGAGGCAAATGAAATGCTCACGTCTCAGAAGAGACAACTCGAACAAGAGAAGGATGAGCTGGAGGAGCACCGCGGTCGAGTAAGTCGATTTGTTTATTTTCGCAGTACTATTATTCAAGTGTGAGTGTATTGTAGGGAGGAACATTCTCGTCGGAGGAGAAACGTCGCTTGGAACAGAAGTTGGCTCAGTTAGAGGAAGAGCTGGAAGAAGAGCAAAACAATGCCGAGATAGCCATCGATAAGCAACGGAAGGCTCAGCAACAGGTGAGCGTCTAATCATTAGCGTCCTGCTATTAGAAATATAAATGAATTTGCTAGTTGTTCGAATTCCAGCTTGAACAACTCACCACTGAGTTGTCTATGGAGCGTTCGGTGTCACAAAAGTCTGAGGCAGAGCGACAAGGTCTGGAACGTCAGAATCGTGAGCTCAAGGCAAAGGTTAGTTTCAGCAATTTTCTTTATTAGTTAGATTGTAACATTTCTCAAATTATTACTGATTTCAGATAGCTGAACTCGAGAGTACAGCGCAGTCACGAGCACGTGCTCAAATTGCTGCCCTGGAAGCCAAGATTCAATATCTCGAAGAACAAAATAGCGCTGAGAGTCAGGAGCGCCACAATGCCACCAGGCAGTTCAGGTAGGAAATCAGGGAAGGAAGATGGGAAGCAAAGGTAGTGAACTGCGTTCTTTTCCAGAAGAATCGAGAAGCGTCTTCATGACACCATTCTACAGCTTGAAGATGAGAGGCGAAACGTCGAACAGCAGAAAGAAATTGTGAGAAATCATGTTATTTTTGATTTTTTATTTCATTTCATCATCTCATTGTGGAACTTCAACTAATTTGGTTACTTTTTTTGGAGCTTAGCTTGTAAAAATTTTCTTACAAAATTTTTGTCATGCTTCGCTTTGTCTTGTCTCTCAGAGCTGAAGGAGAAGCAGTGCTCGTTCAATGATGATTATGCAGGCAATATTCATTTGAAGCCTTTCGAATCGCCATATTTCGTGTGATACAAATGTAAATGTACAGGAAAGAATTATTAAAATTTTGTGCTTTTGCCCATCAATCCCCGACCCGGACAACCCCGCCCATCGGTGGCTACGGTGGGGTGATGAACTGTGGTAATGTGCTTTTGATCGCTGGTGTCTGTATGTAAAGCGTGAATGATTTCACGAGATCAAACCCTCCATACTGCCTGGCCCCTCGATATCAAATCAAAGCTATTGACGCCTTGGATTCCTTGTCAGGTTCAGCCTAAGCCAGCATGTTGGATTCAAACTTTTAGACGTCTTAGTAAATAAAATATCTTCTCAGGGCTCAGACAACCATTTTTTTCTAGTACAGAGACTTGCCATTTTTCTATAGGAGTCGTGCTTTCTACTCAAGTTACCTGTTACAGGCAGAGAAATGTAATTTGCGAGCGAAACAAATGCGTCGTCAACTTGATGAACAAGAAGAGGAGATGACACGAGAACGTGCCAAATCACGAAATCTCCAACGAGAAATTGACGATCTCACTGAAGCGAATGACACGCTTACACGAGAAAACAACAACTTACGGTAAGTGAACAATTCAAGCCGTTATAATTGATTCGTTCTGGAATGTTTTGTTTTCTGACTAACATGAGCGATGATCATCTGGCACAGGGTGAGCTAAGAGTTGAGGATCCTTAGATGTTTCTGAACTTTCGAAGGAATAGTTGATATTTGTAGGGGTAGAATAGTTGGAGAAATCTCGAGGGCAATGTATACGAGTATGGGGGGGGGGGGGGNTGAGGAGGTTGGGGGTTTTACGACGGTGCCGTTGATCTCGATGCTATGGCTGACCGTGAGCCACTGACTCGCTTGTTGTTGCCGAAGCTTGCCCGATGTCGCCATCGGTCGGTTGAGGTAGTAAGAATTTTTCTTAAAATGTGTTCAGTTCCAGTGGTGGTGCGGCAAGGAGAAATCGTGAGAACATTCGGCTCCGATCAGCCTACCAAATACCTGGATCTAGTGACAATTTAACTAGAAACGACGATGAAGATGGTAGCATAGGAACTGAAGGTGAATCCGTTTCCTAAACCCGACCATATGTTTTCATCCATAAATGGGCATATAGATTGATTTTTTCCATCGTACATATACAAGAACGGTACTGTAACGCTTCTAGTTACCGGTTCCGATCATACGGACGAGCTCAAGAAGACGACCGTCTAGCGCTGAAACTGGTGCAACACGTGTCGCTTTCCTTCGTATGCAGGTTCTTATCCACGATTCAGCTGCCTTCATTTGTCATTTTCACATGTTTGCAATTCTCTATTTCTCTCTCTCTCTGTCTCATCACTTACTAGCTGGGTACTGTATAACTTAATCAAAGCTCCATGTATAGATTAATACCGTAATGTAAGCATGCTGCGCTGTGCTGCTATAACACGAGCGGCTCAGTCTGCTGACTATGCACCGTGTCGCGATCGTGGTCGCCAATATGTGGTGACGTTGTCTCCGACGCCTTCTAGTTTTCGTTACTTCTAATATATCGCCCTAAAACCTAAATAGATAAGCAGAAACCGGTGTCTGCGTCGCCTGTCCGCAATGTGTCAGAGTGCTTTTTTTTCTTTCTATACCTGTTTTTCCTAACGCGTACTTACCAACTCGTATCATCGTTTGTGTAGGATAAGTTTTAATATGTTGTATCCGTCTTACAAAAACAGCGATGACGATTCCGTCCTTTTGTCCATCCATCTATCCGCCCGCCCGCCCGCCTTCTTGAGTATTTTGCTGCCCTCTATGGAAATAGTTTTAATTTTTGCAATGTTTGTTCTATCTTTACTATGAAGCCTATATGTGTGTAGCGAAGGCCGGTGTTGTGTCGTGGCCACCAAGTCGTTGCCCTCCTCATCGTTGTCCGATCGTTCCTCTCTCTCAGTCTGTCCCTGTTGCTCGCTCGTATCATCCACACACATTCATCCCCTCCTCTTCCTCCTATCGCTCTAACTTCTTACTATACCTTTCGTCCACGTATGTGATATATATGTGGAAGCTGTTGTCATAGAGTAATTGATTAAATTTTATTCGTTGTGAAGCGACAAGGCGTCGTGACACTCACTGATTGCACATTCCTTTTTTTACGTTGCAACGTTAACGGCGCTTTATTTATCCTTACTTGTTCACTTACGAATATATTGTGCTGATTCACGCTAAAGAGTAATAAATAATTAAAATATTCGTAGTAAGTGGCGTTTTGCTGGAGATTTAGAGCTTTTCAATGAGTTCAAAGAAAAGTATTAAATAGCTAAAAGCATGGCAGTCGACAGAAGAAAATTTGTTGAACTGGCACGCGCCACTTCGATCGGAGTGCGCCATGCAGCCTGTTCATCTTCTAATTAGACAAACTTCAAACTTGAGTGATGCCACACAAAAGGGAGAACAAAACAAAATTCGGTAAATCTGTATCGCCAATGGAATAGTGCGTNAAACCTGTGGAACTTATGAGAGGTGGTGAGTTGGAGCTCAGAAACGGATCGACTTTGTGTGGAACTATTGTCAGTGGCGGAGCTAAAACAGTGTTCAACTATATGATTTTTATGGGGACCCTCTCAGAAAAAAAATCACACAGATGGTCTTCCTTCGCGAATACAAGTAAAATTATATTGAAAGTTAACTAAACAAAATACAGTACACAGCTTTCAAAGGCTATGAGTGAGTTGGCAAAATGTGAATGTATAATTGCAAAAATGGAAATTTAAGCGTCAGAAATCCTTTTTTTGGATACTAAACCAAAATTCGTAAACGTCCTACATGGTCCCCGCTTCGACAACCAAGCTTTATTAGAGATCTCGACTTCAACAACTACAGAGTACACAGGGCCACAAACACCATTCATACCATGTCAGCACCTTTTCAAAGCCGTAAGGATTTGATTTTAAAAAGTCCCGTAGATGCTCTTTTTTGCGCCCGCAAGTGCTTCCCTTCACCAGATATGATCACACCGGGAAATCACTACACTTCTTTAACATGGAGTTATGAATGCTACGGTAGCCGCTTACGGATGGAGACCTTACGTCCCTGGGAATCTTTACGGCGTGATTCAACGAAAGACGTAGTCGTGACTCGTCAGCTATGCAAATTGTCGTTAAAATAGAACTCAAATAACTAGTCTAAGCAGTTGAAAGATGAGGGAACGGCCGAGTACGCGGGCGGAATACACGCCGTGGCCGGACTGCCATGAATAATTGACATGTTCATTGACCGAAATTGCCTTAATCGCACGAAAATGGGCATCTTTACAAAAAAGACGAAAAATATCGCGGAATGACGAAGCAACGTTAACATTAAGTGGCATGATCGAAATTCAAGTGATATATATCGATTGGGCCATGTTATTGAGTGTATTTGTGTATTTCAGAGTGCATGTGTATGTTTGTCAAAGTACTCCTCTGAAGCTACATGTGACTCTGCCACTACTAGAGCATCCTCTAGAGCAAAGTTTCCAGTCCTTTAAACTTTTAATACAGTTTTCCAACAAAGCCTTCAAGTGAGAAGCATTGGTATGGTGGTCGCCAGTAAGTAGTACCTTCCGCTAACTCTCAGGATGATTCGATACCTTTCATGTAGAACTTGGCTGTTTGCACGGACAATTATTAACCGAGGTTGATTTCAAAATGCTTCCAGTCATCCATTTCATCCTCAGGAACCTGGTTCCTAACAATTTTGAGCAAATGGTGGTGTGAAGCCCAGGATGGATTTGTGATACGGTGGATGAGCTAGAGCTCCGTTGTCCATTGGGTGGACCACGTGGCTAGTCACTTTTGAAATGGATGTTCGAGATTCTTCGTACACCTACGGAATCCATCAATTGTCGTGGTATCGATTTCGTGCAAGCATTATTCCTAGTTGCTCCTTCTATACGGTTGTCTCTCCTAGAGAAGCAGCACTCCCGAATCCCGCGTAGGAGCCCACTCTTCGTTCCTTTTGGGAAATACTGCCGACAAAGCACAACGCAATAGTAGTCTGTGAACCTTAGCAGGGGTCGGTCCTGGGAGGTTGACGGAAAAGTACTTGTGGATAGTCATATCCTCCTAGGCGATAGAAAAGGAGCTTGCATTCAGCTCGGTCTATGACGCAAAAGTTAGCTATTACCCGTTTTTGTGACAGTTTTAATAAAAATAATACTAACTACAACGCGGTGAATCTATTTTCTATATTGCATCCACAGTGGTGTGGTTCAAACCGAAAGTTTCTTTGGCAAAAAGGTAATCAAAACCTAAGGGACACCTACTAGTAAAATCTNAGCTTGCATTCAGCTCGGTCTATGACGCAAAAGTTAGCTATTACCCGTTTTTGTGACAGTTTTAATAAAAATAATACTAACTAGAACGCGGTGAATCTGTTCTCTATATTGCATCCACAGTGGTGTGGTTCAAACCGAAAGTTTCTTTGGCAAAAAGGTAATCAAAACCTAAGGGACACCTACTAGTAAAATCTGCTGTCGGGGGTGGTTGATTAGAGGGGACATGTGGTCATCTTTGCGACAGTGTGAGTCATTCTTTCCAATTTTATTTTCAGTCAATCCTTCGCAAGTGTGACCTCTTCATCATCATTCGATCGTCTAATTTTCCTGTGGAAAAGTATTTAGATATAATGGATTGTAGCTGAAGTTTCTGTTCTATATCATTTCTAGGCATCCGGGTGTGAGAGATTACTCGGTGGATTATGAAGTGTCCACCATGTCAATTAGTATTGGACTCGATTGATGTTTGCTTCCCACGTTCTGCCCTTCACGTCAACGATTTTCTTTTATTTGCATTTATTATTAAAATTAGCCTTGGTTGCTGTACTTATCGTACCTTGTATTAGTAATGAACTCACTTTCGAATACGCCATAACACCTGCTCCTCACTAGATTTCATAATCGACTAATTAGTTCCGCTGACGTATACTTTTGAAATGATATGAAAACTTACTTATTTGACTTCGACCTTTTCTTGAACCCTACTTGAGTAAAACCGAAAATGTTATATTTGTTACGGGCCTCCCTATTCCCTACTACGACCGCAACTCGTTAGGAACTGAGGTTTACCGCTGTTACCTGTAGTCAATTCTTTGTTTCAGGTCTTACTCAGTAGTAATACTGCTTTGGGGTGTAAGTATGAGCAGCTTGGAGAAGTGAGCAGCGTATGCAGCACTATTTACTTAAGCACTTTCAATTGGTTGCCACTCATTTCACCAATCATGTGCACCCTAGGCACCCGTCTCAGCTCCCTTCATCACGAACTCCGTTCACATCGTAGCCCAACACGTTTTTGCCATATCTATTTTATGCAGTAACAAAAAAGGTGAAAGCCATTTTTAACGATTGTTCATGAGAAACTGTTCTGACTCATGAAAGGCAAATAATATGAAAATGTAATGGTATATGCAGCACTTAACAGGAATGACACTTGAGACCTGCCACCAGCTTTCATATGCTCATATTGATCGCTGAATATTGAATTCCATATGTGATTGGGAGTTTGTGTACCTCTTTGGCTGCGGCTCTGTTTCCCCTGACAGCACTAATTGTCAGTCGTTTACCTGGTGGTCAAGGTTACCGACACTGATAACTGCTCTGAAGCCGTTAAACAAACACGCGTGTGACACCCCCTTGGTCTTGTAGCAGTTCCGCAATTGAATGAATAGGAGACGACAGCCTTTCATATCGCAGACGTCACTGTCCCTTCTCCCCTTCTCAGTGAGTCATCAAGGAGGAACAGCTCATTCACTTTCCCCCTTGGCGCCACGTTCAAAGCGGTTTTCTGTTTACTCTGAAAGTCTAAGTCGATTAAATAGAACGCTCAGCGGACCCCCTCGATTGCCTGGCCTGGGCAGGTAACACAAGCCAGCCTTATCGTCATCGATAGTTTAGTATCGAATCAAGCAAGCATGATTCAATGTGTACACTGTTAAACAAGCGATTCTTTGAATTTTTATTGAACAAGCACGAATGCCCTCCCTGTACAGTCAAGCCAACCCCGTTCTCATTCTCAACTCGCCTTCAGCTGAGACTGACTGATTGATTACAAGAAACGGTCAAATTCGTGCCGCTACCCACTTCATGGGCATCATCAGGGAATATTCCGTTCAGTTCAGTTGTCATATCTCCAGGCAGTAGAGAAACGAGTTTTTCAGACTCTCTTGAGTCCATCGTTTTGTATTTTTAATGGAATCGATGAGCCATTTGTCGTTT